CAAACTATATCATGTACAATATATATAGACTGTAGGTTTATCATTATTTTATATTTCTTTATTAATCTTATCTTTCTCATGTACACAGATTTTCTTAGCTGGAGTATAGAACGTGTTTCGTTGTAGATTTTCGCTAGATGTTTTGAAGTGACTAACTATCCGATGATGATAATTTTTGAGCAAATGGAATAGAAAACATGCAGTAGAGCATATGCAGTAGTGATAGGATCATGTTTTGGAAAATATTTCGAAGTGTTGCGTTAATTTTTTTTCAATTTTAAGAAAAAAAAACTGAGGACAAATATTTATAGGTGTCAAAATGATACAAGACGTTAATTTATTACGTTATTGACGTTGATTTATTTATAAGATTGACGTTAATTTATAAGTAGTCACCGACATGTTTAGTAGTATACAGTATACACAGAGCGTCAATATGGGAGTTATTTTCCTTGGACCATTTCACTTTTTGCCCATTGTATTAACTGACAATGATGAACTGATATGAGACCGACCGAGCCTTTCTTCGTAGCGAGCTTCCTAGAATATCGATATTATAAGTTAACCGAACAATGGACAAGTTTTCATATCAGAGCATTTACCAGTATTTAGGTACTAATGATACAAGAATATTTCCGAGCTCCTTCAAGACTTTCAAGAAAGTTACAAAAGAAAATAGTGAGGGGAGAGAGGCCAGAAGAGAGTGCGATATTTAAACGCAGTGAAGCATGCCTCTCAAAAGCCTCGGAGAACTGCAATATCAGACTCAGGTACCGAAAACAACGGCGTCTCATTCCGAGTCAATACGAGCCTATTCTTTTCAGATTCGCCTGTGTTCAGTCTAGGCCTGCCTCACATTTGCAAACACGCTCACACCCCCCCCCCATACGTGGGGCTAGACCCTCCCCCCTCCTGCCCACTTGCGCCCCTCACCCCATACAAGCATTATGAAAAAATATCTTTACATTGTATTACATTTTAGACAATTATTACTGGGGTCTATCCATAACTTTCACTTTCCGCATCAATAAACGACTTCTCAAGTTCGTGGTTCGGCCTACATGAATTAGATTAATCCATTGTTTTCAATAACGTTTTACGAATCATACAGTTGAATATCCTTCAGTTACTACATTAAAAATTCTACTTTAATAACATTTTACGCAGCAGCATTAAATTCCTGTACAGTTATATTTCATTGAGATCATTAAGCAATTTATAGAGGAAAATAAAATTGCATTGTTTACCAGAGTATGCTGCCTTCCAAGATATAAAAAATAACATACATTTCACCTCACTATTATGTGCATATATTCTATAATTCAGGATGGGGCATTCAAGTGAAATTTTAGGGGCAAGGTTTATACATTTTTTATTGCATGACGCCTTATCGATGAAGATCGGCTATTTATGAAATAAATTTCACAGAAAAAGTATAGGTATCAATGGTAAGTCCACATTTTGTTAGCACTTCTCAAATCATCAGAGTCTTAAATTGAAAGCTGGTGTGCCAGAGTGTTGATATATTAGAGCCTGCAACTAGTTTGTGTGGAGTTCCAAAAGAGTAGCTGGTTCGTCGTAAGCTACGGACCCAAAGACGCTACCCAGTGAAAATTTACAGACGCGGCAGCTTCTGATTAAGCTTCTGATTTGGATTACCAGAAGCTGGGGCGACTCTAAATTTTGTTAGAGTACGTAGAGTGCGACGCAAGGTTGTGATCACAAGTTAGGCTCAGCAGTGAATAAGCATGCAGCAGCGGCGGCAATGCGCTGCCTTCAAATTCTCGTCACAATGAGGCAGTGCGGCCACAATAGAACAAAGTCTCAAAGAACAAAGGTAGCCTCAAGCAACGGAAGTCTTGCCTTCCAAACTGAATGTCAACGGAAAAATCGATAACAATAACGTCGTTCTGTAGAGAAATTGTTGTTTTTTATAATTAAAAAGTACCTACCAAATAAAGAACTTCTACGATCATAGAAGAAGCATAAGTAAACATTTACGACGTCAAACGAGTGGAATGTTTCATTATTAATTTTAGAAGACATTGAATGCACCACGTATAGAAGCACAAAGGAAGTAAAACAGTTTCGTTTTAATATGAAATGTCTACAAATTTATTGTAATTCAATAAATTTGGCGAACATTTCCATATAGGGCCGTCACATGCATATGATTGTCAGTGCCGACTACAAATAACATACTACATGTAACCTTATACATTGAAATATTTGCAGCGTGGAGCAATACAAGCTCTCCTGATTTCAAATCTTAGAATGTCACGAGGGAATGTCCGCAATGCAGCCTTCAATAAGTCCAAATTAATTAATCCAAACAAATTCCAGCGAAAGAATTTAATAACCACCTGTAATTAACGAGACATTGATATCACAGAAGGATATATTTGGAGAGTAATTAGGATTTAATTAGCTAGAAGTGATGGAAACTTCGCCCGTGCAGAGAACTGCTCGCGTCCTTTATGGTCAAAAACAATCAGAGCGGCCGTAGATTATCAACACTCGGAGCGACGGCGACCTGTTCCTGCCAGAATTATGGGTTAATCGAAGTGCAGTACATATCCCGTGCACGGCCATCCACCTGTCATTAGGTCGGTGAAGTAAGAAGAGCCCCAAGAGTGAATCAAGAAACGAGCAAACAAGCATGCAGTGAAGGCAATTCCTATGCCTGCTTCAGATATGCTTTGTGAACAAATTAAAAACGTACCTACGCTGTTCAATTCCGCTAATCAAGATGTAATTTTTCTTGATGAATCTTATTATCTCATAAAACCTCACAAACTTATTCCTTTCTAAAACATTGTTCAGAGTGAATGTAGTCTTAGAAAGAGTGAATGCAGTCTTAGAAAGAGTGAATGCAGTCTTAGAAAGAGTGAATGTAGTCTTAGAAAGAGTGAATGTACAATTTGTTACAGATCGGATAAATACAGCAGATAAATTCGGATAATCCGAGCTGAGGTTATGTATCTCCTAATGTCAAATAGTTTCTCGGAACAAAGAAAGCTCACTCTAACAACAGCATATTTTTTTAAGAAGCACAGCAAGCAAACGATAACACTTATCGTCAATTTACGGTGTCACTGAACTGCTATCGGGATATGCGTGAGAACGAAATAAGTGAGTACAAATAATTAAACAATTTAATAAACTTTCAACCTTAAAACTGCTTGAATGTAGAGTCTTACAATAGTAAATCCACATTTGTTTGCCCTTCTCAAATTACATCATGAATCAGAAAGTTGAAAAAATCTGACGGCATAAATTTTAGTCTTCGCGCGCCAAGCAAAAAATATACAGAAAACCTTCGACTTTTCTCTCTAAAAAAATAAAATTGTGAATGAAATTTCAGGAAAATTCAAGTTGGACAACTCCCGAAAAATTAAGGAAAACGTTTGATAAAGTATGAAAATAGTAAGGAATATAATAATGACTGACGATTAGCATAAAATTTATATTTAACACAGGAGCTGAAGCTAAAACCCGGCTAGAAAAAGGTGACTGACAAGGTGCGAGCGATCTCCGTAGACTGTCGGAGGTGTTCTCTAAATCTCCACTCGATCCGCCGGTGTAAGCAGCGTTCATTCTTAATGGTTTCATCATGTAAAGAGATGATATTATCAGTGACACGGATGTTGCTTTTAATATATGAACAAAATATCATATTTCTAACATTTGTGAAATCATGCTTGTCATGTAGACACACTCAACATTTTGTTGCCAGTTTATTGAAATATCAAGTCAGATTTTTGATGTGAATTACAGGTCAATTTCACAAACAATAATGAATAAATTATGAAACAAAAAAATCCATTGATATAGTCATAAACATTTAGAAATTTAGATACATAGTCGTCCATTATTTAATTGTAGAAAAGCCTACTTTATGCCACCTCAAAGGTCATACAAAGGTCCCAAACAATGTATGTTGGGTCCGTGAAACAATGGACATTTAGAGCCATTTTCACAGCAGTGATGAAGCTCGTTTGCAAGCCGCTCATCGGTTGGACTATTTCTCTTCTGATTTTTAGGTGCCAGGCTCTGGTTGTTTCTTAACAATATCATATCTCACCAAGTAAAATTTTCAGAAAAATACGACAGTGATATACATATATATTTGACATGAAATAATTATATAGATAACTTAGAAAGTTGACGTGTTATTAGTCAACATTAGGAATGGACTTAAAATTCAAGGATTGTGTAAAATATCATAACAAAAATTTTCGATTATACCCAAATAAAAGATTGAGTGCTTTGAACTGAAAATTCTTCAGCAATAATTACCGACCGAGTGATATTCATCGGAAACTCTATGCGTCAATACGGTCATCAAACAATACATAAACCCATTACCACCACCAGAACGATTTCATATATTATTGGTACGATTCCTGATTATTATAGTCTGTTTAGACGGAAGTTAATGGCAGCACAGAGTAACGTTCATACGATGTGGATGGTTTCGAATGTACTTATCAAAGAGCTTCCGAGCACAGCAGGGGCAGCGACAGCGGCCCATATAGAAAGCCTGATTTACGCTGCAATAGATTACCTACAACACTCGTAAATATGCTTCTAAATCAACACACACATGAGCTTATAGGTCAAGATCCGATTCTTAATAGATTGACCTTATAGGCATTAAAGAATGCTCGGATAAGCGTCTCTCCAGCAAGTTATGGATTGGATATAATGAATGAGGATGAAAAGATAACGTCGGTCGCGAGAAAAATATTAGTCGGGAATTAAAACTGAACTGGAGTGTTATTCTATAACATGCTTGATGTCATGAACAGTTGTCAGTACACGATGTTGATATATTTCTATGTTTTCAGAACAAATTGCTGAATTCAAAACCAAATAGGTGCGTCGTAATTAAATTTATAGCACTAAGGGATATTTTTTACGTTTTGTAGGGATACAAAGTCACGAATACTTATTTAAATATTCTATCACAAAGGAGGAATACAAATTGAAATTACAGAAGAATGTAAAAAAGGAAAAATAATTTTAAAAACATGGAAAATTATCTTCAAACTGTTCATACAATTGGCGAAAGAAGTGCGTTTGCCTGAGCTTCAGACGGCAACCAGTCGCGGTATTCAGAGAGATTGCTGTCAAAAAAAGAAGCCTAAGCAGAAGCTCGTAAAACGAGACTATAACAAGTCTATCAATCTCAAGGTTAGGGGAGATGATGATAATGTAGAGGCCATTAGTTTCCATACGCACACACGGCATCATCGGCAGGTTATTTAGAGCCACTAAGGAGGCAGAGCGTCGTAACTCGATGACGCCAAGTCCAGAGGGATTAATTGTTATTCATCCCTCCATCCCTACTTTACTTATAATTCATTCATCCCTATTCCTTATCCCCTATAATTCATCCCTACTTTACTTATAATCTTCATTCATCTCCGCAGAATTCCTAAAAAACAACTCATCACATTATTAAATAGTTTCCATTCCGCTGGTTTGCGAACACATTTCACATATAACTTTTGCATTGAGAGTAAGCAAAAAAAGTACTAAAAACGAATCTCACACAAATTGGGAATGTTACGTTGCAAGTCATCAAGGTATGCATTGGTGATCACGCAAATTGCACATTACATCGCAGTTTCCCAAAAATTCAGGAGGCAATAGCAAAGAAATCCATGGTTTTCGCATGTTTCCTCAACTTCATTTTGAAAAAATAAATTATGATGAAAGCTAGGATGATGGACAGCTTCAAAATACAATTGCAAGATATACTAACGAATCCACAAAAAAAACGTTTGTCTATATATCAATAAAGTTAATCAATTCCATTCATTTACATAATTAACATGAAACAACTAGTAAAAACGTACGATTTCTTCACATGAATGAGTTTAACCTGAATAAAAATAGGAAGTTGGCAATTCCCCAAATGGAGCAGAGGCAAACAACGAAGCGAGCTTCCGATGCGGCATCCAAACACGCCCACCTGGCTTCGTGAGGGCGGACATGCGAGAGAATTAAGAGCGGATGAGGGCCATAACTTGGCATCAGATAAATACAGAGCCATCGCGTCAATTCCCAGGAATAAGTCCAATATAATGACGTAAATGAGCTTAAGAATACTATTGAGTGGCATTATGAAGACAACGTGTGGTGGCACGGCCATATTTAAGAAGGCTTTCGTTTAACGAGCAGCAGGGATAGCGCATTATGAGGAACTGTTTACTGCAGATATTGACTGCCAACTGAATGGATAGGACTACTTAACACATTGATTGATGAGCCATCGCACTCGTCATAAGCCGATCAATTGATAAAGACTCTCACATGAACGCACGCCACCGGCACAAACCAAGTCATCCGTTTGACGATCACATTCTCGGCACGCGTTGCGCGAGTATACCGTTTATAAATTTTCGTTTCAGGATAGATACTTATAATCTTCATTCATCTACGCAGAATTCCTAGAAACAACTCATCACATTATAGTTATAGAAGATAGGTGAGAACACAACCCGAAAATTATCTACGTAACTTTGAGGCTATGAAAGTTACACACATGCCAATGAAAGACCTGCATGCCGAAAATATTATGTCACACACATAGGTATAATATCCAGCACAATTACTTTAACAATTAATTCGTTCACCAATAAATCGCTTTCCCCGCCCCCGTGCTTTTATGAAACGGCCTAACTTAACTTGGTTGTTTTATCACAACAAGGCATTGCCGTAAATTATGGATACGTATTGTCAGAAAGGTTATTAGTGAGAAAACAACCAATTTGATAATAGAGTTCAATTTCGTAGAAAAATTAGTAGTATGTCGCTCGCTGATTAAAAATGTAGAGGAGGGGGAGTGGAGGAGGGGAATGTGCAGCCAGACGTTAGAAGGCAGAGCCTGGCTGAGAAATTTTAACCGCGTGAGGCCGTGTGGGCTCGATGCGGCGTTCAGCGACCGCTCCACCTGACTCTTAACAGAAAATGTGCGCTTGATAGGCGAAATGATTGCAATATCGGCATTTTTTGGGCCACTTTTGCATCAATTGAAGTTTGAACGAGGAAGAAAGTTCTATAAGATAAAAAATATTCGTAAGTCGCGAGGCAATAAAAATCCCAAACACTGAAGACTACAATGAGTAACAATAAATTTGAATTGCTGGTAATATATGGTAGTGTAATAAAACATGTTTCATTTCGCTGCGTTATTCAAAAATATATACATTTTTAGAAATGGACACTTTGGAGAATGAATTTTTCGGATTGATGTCCTGGCATCAGGATAGGATCAGGGATGGTCGAAGACTTGATCTGTTCGGATCAGAGAAAAGATGAATAAAAATGAAAGGAAGTCAAGATGAAGAATTTTGCTGCATTGAGAACAAGTCCTCCATCTAGACGTCAACTACCATCTTTTTATGAACGTCTATGTTTTCAACGACAGTGCAGAACTCCTCGAAACTGATCTTGCCATCTTCGTCCTTGTCGGCAAAGAGCACAGTTTTGTCGACGATCAGCTGAAGTTGCGTGTCCTCCAGGTTGTTGCCCACCATCATCTTCAGAACCTGCACATCATAATTAGAAATAAACGATGTGCTCACCAGTGGCTTGCGAGTAGAGATAAAGGTTTAATCCAGAAATCCCACATCATGATATAAGTTGAAAAATTCTGTAAGTTGAGATGCAGAAAAGAAAATTATGGAGAAGCTCAAAGCAAAGTTGCATGTGCTTTGGTTTTAATAATTAAAGCAATAAAACACAGCCTGAAACATTATTGGCGAATGGCGATACAGAACATCTACCAGCTGTAGTTCATGGTATCTAAATATGAGGAAGTACCATATATAGTACTTAACAAAAGAAAAATTGTTATAAGGCACTCAAATTGCTTTGCTCTTCAAATAAATTAATCAATTTTATATGAAAACATTAAACTACGTCGCATTAAAAGTACAGAGGTCATACTATCAAAACTTGCCTAAGCCTACACAGCAGCCATTTTTCTGTCTGTGATTGGTAGGTCTAGCTTATTAAGCCGTCAGAGATTGGCTGAAGGAGTTCTGATTTCACAAATATTAATGGAAGTACAGCCTTCCTGATAACAGAAATATACATCAGTAGACTAGAGTTTAATGTGAGTAGAGCTGTATTGACCTGGAAGAGCTCGCCATTGGTGATGTACCCATCGTTGTCCATGTCGTAGATGCGGAACGCAAACCGCATCTTGCTCTCTTTGTCACCTTTGACGCTGAACTGTGACATGCCTTGTATGAACTCTGCAATAATTCATACAATTTGTATCACAAATCAATACTTGTTGACACAAAGTTTCGATAATGGAATTTATAAATTACATGGTTTAAATAGTGTATCTGGCAAATGTCGACCTTCACATTCCACACATTGCTGCATACGTTTTCTGAAGTTTTCATGAAGAAATTAACGGGTAAGTAAAATTCAGAGTTTTGAGGCAGACTGGATAACACAGCCAAACTAAGAAAATGGGCTTGAGAACTTCAACCAGACCCCTAACGTTGCCTTCAAAACTAACTTTATAACTCTAAAATTGGCAGTAGAAGCTACACGAGTTCTGAAAGTATTCTCATTTGCAGGGATAGTAGGAAAAGGTTGGAGACTTAGGCTCTAGTTTGTTACCTTAGCCTTGTGCCACATTCCTTACCTTTAAAGTCAACTTCTCCATTGCCATCGGCATCAAATATATCGATGACCCTTTGGACAAGTGGATTTTGTTGTAGCTCAGGTAAGGACTTGAACTCCTCAACACTCAGCAACCCAGAGTTGTCCAAGTCCAGCTTACGGAACCTCTTGCCCAGCCGCCGGATCTCATCCGCATCAACTGCAGGAGCCGTAATGAAGAGACCACAACACCATCAGGTATGTAGTGGCAGCGCTACACCAGAGAGGTAGAGGCAGCCTCACATCAGTGAGGTAGAGGCAGCATTACATCAGTCAAGTAGTTGCAGTAATCAGTAGATGTGATGTCATAGAAGGACGTGGCAGTGGTGTCGCCAGGCAATAATCCATTACCAGGTGCAGCAGAAGTAGGTTCCACCAGCAATGGTAGTGACAGCAAAACATGGGGAGTGAGAACAAAAATCAGTTTTGAGAAATGCAGAGCTCAATGAATGAGGTTATTTAATTAACAATGAACTTAGATTAATTTACAACAAGAAATAGTGTGATGGAAATAAATCATTTTGTTGTGACAGGTTATTCATCACATCATTTGAAATGCTATCTGACTTAGTGACAGTTGCAGTATATCAGGTATGTCAAGATAACAGGACTAAAACTATATTAGAACTGATCTAGGGACAGTTTATAGCACAGTTCAAGGAGCCATGATGTGGGTTAATAATTATTGTTACAAAGAGATGATTAGAAAATATTTCATGCTTGATCAGATAAAATTTAATTATATGACTTAAGATATCACAGGAAGGCAAATCCAACAACCTTCATCAATGAAGGACTTGGAACACACTAATATTTATCCCTCTCCATTTACCTTACATCACAATACAAAACCTTAAATTCAGTTCTTATTCAATCATGTAGTACATAATCAACTTGATATTTATAATGCCTACCATCAACTTATTGCCAGCAAGACTTCTTTAGTTTATTTAACTGGTATTAATGCAATAATATACAAACTATGCGATAAAATCCTATCAAAGATTACAATGTTCACCATAAAAAAATTGGCCAATTTAGGCAATGATAAACAAACATAAATTTGTAACTGTACAGACAGAGAATATTTCTAATTAACTTCCAAACAATTGCTTTCCTTGGCAAATGAAAGACTAATCTGAGCAACATAACTAAAATCACTCATACAGTTAGTGACAAAATTATTTGTACAACCCTTTCTTTTCAATGTTTTTTGAAATAACTAAAAAATTAACAAGTGTACCCTATGAGCTCATGATTGGATTGAACCCAGCAGTATTTAATATTGAAAATAGCACTACATTTTCAGAACAAAATCTAACATCAAAACATTTTAACAAACAAAAATTTTCCAATAACTCCAGACACAGTTGTTCTTAGTTTGAAAATACTAACATAGTTGCAATATTAATAATCAATGGCATGTCATTTCATATTGATAATCTCCAGCAGTCACTTTTTATAGTTCTTGACAAGACTTGCAGTGTTATATAAATATCCAAGTTCATTATTCCATCAATTTGAGCTAACCAGTGCCTCTTAAGGACAAACAACCCCAATACATCATTGACCCACTTCCATGGCTGACTGTTGGGATTGTGTTCTTTGGAAGGGAAGCATCCCATTTTTTGCACCAAATCTTTTTCCTACTATTATGTCCATATCATTCAATTTTTGTTTTGGCACTCCATAATGATTGGTTCCAAAAGACTTCCCCTTGTCCACGTAAGATCTTACAAATGCCAAATGAGCATCAACATCAACAGGATGTCGTGTGTGAAGTGGGCATCATCCATGCAGGACATCTATGTTGAGACAACGCTGTATGGTATGCTGACTCACGCTTGTTCCCTCACTGGCCAATCTATTGGCAATGTCCTTCGACACCACTTTTGTATTCATATTTACCCCACAAAAGTTTTTGAACTGATCATTCTGATAGTTTGGGCTTCCCACCTTGTCCAGGTATAATGTATGTGCAGTACCAAACTCTACATATTTCTTTATCACCAACTACTGTGGATCTTGGAATATACAGGCATTTTGAGATCCACCCATAACCACTGCCAGATTTGTGTAGGTCAATAATTTTGTTTATAAAATCCACACTGCGCTCCTTCATCTTGCCCATCATGTTGTTTGCAGTCAAATAGCATGAACCAGATGCCACTGCAAATCTCATCAAAAACTATAGAAAGAGACTGCTAGAGGTTATGAAGATGTAGGACATGCCATTGATTATTAATATTACAACAATGTTACTTTTTTCCAACTGCACGAATGATTGTGTCTGAAGGTTTTGGGAATTTTTGCATGTTATAAGTTTCGAAATTGCATTTTGTTCTGAAAATGTTGCATTATTTTCCATATTACACACTGCTTAGTTCAATTAAATTGGAGGCTCATACCGCACATTCATCAATTTTTGAGTTATGCAAGAAAACATTAAAAAAAAGTGGTGTACAAATAATTTTGTCCTTAAATCTATATTGAATATGTATTTCACATAATCTCCAATAACAATAAAAATTGGTACAATTCCCAGCTTTCATTTCCATTACTGCAGAAAATATTGAGCCTTGGCTACAGACGTCACACTCACAGTTGGAGCACATCTCCATTGGCAGTGAAGAATCATTTCCCTGCAAAGAAATACACAGTATTATTTAACATGATAACTACAATGTTCCATCATGATAAAGAAGTAATATGGCAACATATATATGGAATAAAGCTTTCTAAATAACATTTCATTCAAATAAATTGTTCATTCATAACATTACATTAGGCATTCCTAAATTTTTTATTAAAGTTTAGACAAATCTTAGGGTCCAACAAAACCAGTGACCAATATTTGCATTTTATTCCCTGTGACAAATCTCTGATAAACATAAATGGAAATCATGAACTTGATAATTTAACCTACTTAGTATATTGGCGCCATGAAGCAATTTAATGATAATACATACCGTATAAGTTAGTGTACACTCAAGAATTGGCATTGAATCAGAAAAGGTAAGGGAAATCCTAATTTGAAGCAAAATATTTATTTGAAATTTGTATAAAATTTTTTATTGATTGGCAGATCAGTTAGTTTGATTCAAGCCAAAAAGTACTTCAACTTAGCTGCAATCTGAATAACATTGAACTCTTGGGGCAAAATGTTCCAAAAGATAAAAAATATATAACTTAGTACTCACTGCAGTGAGTGACAGAGAGCGCATTTTCTCATTGATGAAAACTTGAGGTCACGGACAGATGGACGGACAGACAGACGGATGGACGGACATGGCGAGCACAATAGTACATTCTTTCCATAAATGAGAATATGCGCTAAAAAGAGAGATCTTGTCCAATCATGATATAGAGCAGACAATAAAAAAAAACACATTTTTAACAAAAGTTCAACAGTTAACAGTTTAATAACAAAATTTTACACAATTTTAAACCAAAATTTACCAAGCAGATTGATAGATTTCAAATAATAATCAAGCTTAGTTATCAAGTTGAAATGATCATTTATCAGCAATTTTTAATTCTCTAATATTGTTCAAAATTTCATTCAAGAAGGAAGAGTCTAACAAGTCTCTGCTTCCATGCTTTGCCACTAGGCCCACTACTCCACCTAAGTGTAGAAACATTTTATTTTTAAATTAGCATTCCTAAAATATAATCAACCTTTAATGATGCATAATTTGCCACCCAGCAGCTACAGCACCTAACTTGCTGCTTGTCAATAAAACCATAAAATACTGGTCAAAATTACAATTTGTAGGGTTTGGTTGCTAAATAATAAATATTTTTTTATAGTGCTATAAAGTTGGGGCTCAGTTTTGTTAAGGGGAGTGTCTGGGTCCCAGAAAAACTTTTTATTTACAGACAGATCACTTTGAAACTTGGTACACATGTGTAAAACAGAATTCTAAGTCTTTTTTTCATGTAAATTTTTCAAAAAAATTAAAGGAAACTTGAAATTCTTAGCCAAAAAGGGGATACCAAAGCAAATTATCTCCTAAGGTTTTCAAGCTACAACATCGAGACGCATATCATTTGATGTGTAAAGACCACCCATATCTAATGATTGGTCGTTCATTCTTTTTTAAATTCTAATTTTTGTGGGTGAAGGAGCATTTTTCGTAAATTTTTAAATTTTCACTCCCCCTGCCTCTCCTTTTTATCACATTTTCTCATTTATGGGAAAAATGCACTATTGTGCTCGCAATGTCTGTCTGTCTGCCTGTCTATCTGTCTGTCCGTGACCTCAATTTTTTGTTGACGAGAAAATGTGCTCCATGTCACTCACTGCAGCGAGTACTGAGTTATATTTTTTCTAAATAGAATCCAAACTATAACAAAATTATAAAAAATGAATGAAGAATTTCTAGGTTTTTTTTTTTTGCAAATCAAATGATGTACATATGTCTCAATTCTGTAGCTTCAAAACTGTAGGAGATATGTTTGCAGCGAGAGGTAGTGCAATGTTCAGGAATGTCCAGGAGAGCCAACAAATGGCCGGCTGGTCACTACGCGCTAAATATAGCCATTTCACGTAGCTATGATAGCAAAGTTATGTGTACTTTCACTTAGAAGCAAGTCAGCAATGTAGAGAATGACTGCATGACACCTTCCCACATGACAGTTCTGGGATAACTGAGCTCAAAAGTCAAAGCCCTTACTTAGACCAGGCTTATACCTATATGCAGGTTACATTAATTTTCTTGGTAGGGTTTTGTGAAGGACTTGACAAAAGGTAACTCTTTCAGGATCTGTCGTGAATGCATACATCAACGTACAGAGATGGTTTGGTACCGTTGGATAGGCCAGAATGTCACCTTCAAGACGAGACTAGAAACAGGAAAAGCCCAAAAATGTTGATTTTGGACCCAGTCGCTCCCCTTAACAAAATAGATCATCTCTTTTTAAGGTCCCACAATGCACAGTTTGGCAATTGTGTACAAAGATCAGGATTTAGTGTTGCCAGTATTACTGAGGATTTCTTACCAGAACTGCCTAAATCTTCAAAATTTCTTACCAAAAACACATGTAAATAGGTAATTAACAAAAAATATGTTAGCAAATCTTCAGAAGATAGATTTTGATCCTGCTCTGTCTTGAAAGATAACTAAGATGCTGTCACTAAAGATACAAAAAATCTTGAAGTAGTCACCCACTCTCAGCAACCTGTTCAGAAGGCTGGTGAAAAAGGCTGCAGAAAAATTAGTGGAATTGATAGTAATTTGTTGCCCATATTCAATAACTTGAATAGACATGGGATAAATGTAGGCATTGAATTTATCTACCTTTTGAGCCACAACTAGATCTTTCTCAGTCTGGAGCAGATATACGTTTTAGGGGAATTTTCCTGTGAAAAATGAGCTCTCAAAAGTAATGATCTTCTCAGTTTGAGCAGGACATTTTCAATAAGATAAGTTTGAGCAATGTCATTGCAAAGTCTGAAGCGGTGTCACAGCAGCCACTATTGAATGTAGCTCATTGGTCACTAATATGCATACATGAGGCACATGGATATGATCACATCATCAATCATTGCAGAGCTGCAACTGCTGACAGCAGCAGGCTTTGAACTATACACTGTTATTGATATGCTACAACTTGCAGGGTGGAACTCTATGGGGGTATTAACCAGTACACATAGCATATTGGGAAGGTCAAGGCCATCACAAACCCAATCACAGTCTGGAGTGGATGATGTCAAGTAAATCACAGTCTGGAGATAGAAATCAGACTCACATCTGCCCAAAAATGACAGAAGTTGTATGCAAAACCCTAGAATTTCCCTGATAGATGGCAGAATTGTGAGAATATATTGCATCATTGCATAGCTGCAGATGCTGCCAGCAGCCGCCAGCAGGTATATAACTATATGTCGTTATTAATACGATACGACTGGGATATGTACATTGCTGCATTCTGGTGTTATTGCACACGTATGTATAAACTATTTTAGTTATGGTGCATACCTTAAAATGAGGTAATAGGGGACAGTTTAGAGTGTTTTTTGGTAATAACTTTTTTAACATGGAACATTTCATAAACAAGTTTGGGCTCATTTTATAGCTTTTTGCAAGGGCTATTGTAAGGCATCTCTGAAAAAATTATGTATGCTTTTTGTAAGGTGCCAGATGCAAAATAAAAGCCTTCCAAATTACCCCTGGTAATGGGGTAATAAGGGACACTTGAAATAAAATTTAATTTTAAAACTGTTTAAGCATCTAGAGTGTACTCATACATTACTAACAGTACTCCAAAGTCATCCTCTTCCTTTGTAGATGATGTAGATGTATAATAAACCACATTTTTGCTCATTTTTACTCGTTTTCCCTAATTGATGTGATATTACCTTATCCATACATTACCTACTATTTTATTGATGTGATATTAACATATCCATGGACATGCCATTGAGCATTGACAACGACCTTGTTGACTGCACATTCACAACAGCAGCTGTATACCATTTCTTCTATATTTGTAAGCTTACAGGATGGCTTGTAATTTTGCACCATTTTAATTGAGTCAAGTGAACTCACTCTAACAAAAAAATACCATAAAAAAACTTACCTAAAACAGAAAGGAATGTTTTACTAATAACTATTATATTTTTTTGAGAAATAAATCATAGTTAAGTCAACTACTTTTCATTCTATGTTGCCCAGCACACAATTTTATCTATGACATCCTATGCACAATTTTCTGATAACCAATGATGCATTAATTTTTTGTTAAGTGAACTCTTGTTGAGTGAGGTAATGTAATAAAATATCTTTGTTGTTAATTGATTTTTTTTTGTCAACTGAAGCCTTTGCTAACCAAGGTTCTACTCAGAGCTGGGCAGCGTTACTTGGAAATGCAGCAGCGCTACCGCTACCGCTACATGCTCTAAATGTAGCGGGCGCTACCGCTACCGCTACACCCACTAGATTGTAACGGGCGCTACCGCTACCACTACAGTAAAATGTAGCGCGCTACATTAGCCGCTCCAATGGACAAAATTATTAGAAATCTCTTAATATTTACTGTTCTGCTATTGGGATTTACTCATTAACATTTAATGATAATAAAACATTTTTAAAACATATCAATGCAACTTTATTGCAATTAACCTAACCGAACTAGTATGGGTTACCCCAGGGTTAGATACAGTAAATAGAAGTTACAGCTATTTTTATGTTTTACCTTCCCTACATGGATGTGAACTTTAATCTACCAATCTAAGAAATAATCCACATATACATATAAAAATCAGTCTTTTTCGTATATATACAGCAATCCCTTGATTAGCACAGTTTTGAATACCGCGGTTTTGATTAACGCGGAAAAAAAATTTGTGACCTACCCTTAATCTACGCGGTGCCAGTTTTGATTAGCGCGACTTTTTTTTCACAACGCATCATTTTCCCGCCTCTAGCCAGAGGTGTTACGTTCATAATAAAAGTGTTACTTTTTGCTTATTAGATCTTATGTTGTTACTTTTGTTTCGACTTTTGGAAAAATTAGCCATATATTGTTACTTTATGAATTTCAGCCAATAATTCTTTAAATAAGGTCCCGTTCCGTAGGCACTCGTGCTGACTACAGAGTCAGTTTAACCGCGCCTTGTCTTGTTCATAACTCGAATGGTAGAGTTCAGCAACGTTTGCCGGTAAGTGCGCCATGCCCATGCTCTAGTTACTCGTCAGCCTTCAACTGGTCAAGATTGCTGCCATATCTACTGCTCACTTTTATCAAACTACATAATTTTCCTTGATAAATTACCATCATAATTATGGACAAAAAGGGAACGCTTAAACATAAAAATATCACTTTGGAGACTAAGCTTGAAATAATTAAGCATTTTGATAATGGTGAAACGAAAACGAAGATCGGTGAAGACCTAGGGTTTCCCGAGTATGTAATTATTATGTACCGTAAAATGGGGTAACTTAGACCGGCGGGGTACGGTAACTTAGACCACTTTTCGTTTTTTTAACAAAAAAACGCCGTCTTGAAAAAATTATAACTCCAACAGTTTCCAAGGTACGGCAATGAGAGACATACCATTCGATTTTTAAAAACAATACCTAGTGACTCTAGAAGCTCTTTTTTAATATGTGCATGGTTTGACTTATATATGGGAGGGGGAGGAAGGTGGGGGGGGGTAAAAATGTGAAAAAATGGGAAGAACATGAAAAAAAACGATGAGGAAAATAAAAAATCGAGGCTCTACTGTCGCTAGATATTGTTGTTACAAATCGAATGATATGTGTCTCGACATTGTAGCATGTGATTTGCAAAAGTTATAAACTTTTTTAGAGTACCCCTTATTTGCCGTTTTCTATTAATTCCACGTTTTCTTCAATATTTTTTTTTAATTTACATGGACAAAAAAGTCTTAGATTTCGGTTTTACATATGTGTACCAAGTTTCAAAACGATCCGTCAGTAAAAAAAAAATTTTGTTGGAGGGTAGCCGGCCCCTTAAGTACAATCTAAAGGGTTTATCTATAAATGTAGCGGTAGCGCTGTAGCGGCAAAACCTCGTATTGCTACTTAAATATGTAGCGGGCGCTACCGCTACATTGTCTTAAATGTAGAGCCGCTACCGCTACCGCTACTGAAAATGTAGCGGCCGCTACATGTAGCGCGCTACTGCCCACCTCTGGTTCTACTGTAAATGCTTTTTTAGGGATGTCCCTTATTGCCCCATCATGTGGAAAAGATTGCCATTTTTTTATAATGATTTATGCAAATTCCATCAATTACGTTTTCAAGCCAACACCCATGTGAAACTTTTATGCAAGTAAAAACTTTTAATACAGCAAATATTTTTCTTCATACAAGTACAGACCTTGGCAAAGGTACTTTTTCAAAATATCACTTCTCACACTTTCTTCAAGGATTTTTAGAGGTAGTAAATGTATGATTTATTAATTTACTTTACGCAAAATAGATACGAAAAATATTGAACTTTAAGCCACTATTTTTACTTTTTACTTCTGCAATATTTCCATTACTAGGGTAAACGCGGCATATTCCGACACATTAAGGACGCATCGAGAAATGAAAAACTATAAAAAAACGTATGTGTTACGTAAGTTCTGTTGCCTTCACATGACTCTCAAAACACTTCACTACGCGTCAGCAACAATGAAACGTCACAAAATGTTGCCATATTTATTAAAAAGCCTTTAGAATGGAAACCTACCAAATCCCTATATTCCGTCACTTTGTGTGGCAATATTTGACACGTGGTGAAGCAAATGTATGACGTCACCATTTCAACCATCAATGAACGCATGGAACTAAAACAAAGCTTAATATAAAGGAAAAGCTGGAGAGGTGACGGAATTACCTACGATGTCGGAATATACCGCGTTTACCCTACTGTTAAACTGGGTAAAAAGGGACAGGTGGCGGGCGGGGTAAATCGGGACACGTTTTCCACATTTTGTAGAAATGTAGCAGCTAAACTAACCAAAATATTTCAAAACTAAAAATAGTGGCATAAACTTCAACATTTTTACTATCTATTAGTAGGTATATAGCTAGTCAATCAAACCATCGATAAATCAAACGTTTGTAATCAAACGTTTACCATCTCTAAAAAATTGCTGAAAAAAAGTGATAAGTGAAAAAGTGAAAAATTGCTGAAAAAAAAACATGAGTATCTTGCCAGTTTATGAATGAATTACATTTACTTAGTACTCTAGTAGCTATAACCTACATGTTTATTAATGAAATGAATGATCTGGCACAAGTTTCCAGTTCTATAATAAAAATTTATCCTCTTCTGGCTGCAAGATTTCTGGACTAATTAGGAAAATTCCAATCCTGTGTAACAGTGATTAAAATGCATGTCTTGCCAATCTTTATACCTATCATTTGATACCTAACCATTTTTGTTTACAAATGTACGTACCTATTGCCCATTTTATGAAGCATGTGATCAAATTCTGTTTGTATAGCCTACAGTTAACAATTAACATAGATAATTTCATAAACATTAATCAGTTCATTCCGTGCAAAAAAACTAGTAAATTCAAATTATGTACTGGAATTGAAAAAAAAATATCAAATTATCGTAATTTTGGAAGGGTCAAGTACTAACTAGTGACAACTCCACAATCCAGATGGGTACTGGATGATTGGATCTGTCTGATTCTGTCCATAACAATCAGTGTTGGTTCAATTAGGCTACAATAGTCTGAATAGATACGATACTCGATAGTGATAGACATTCTACGTTTTCTACCTAAAGTAAAAGTAGTACCTAGAACTCTAAAAACGATCTAAGAAACTTAAAAATACAACAGATAAAGAGATTTCTTACCATCTTTGCACAAGATCACCAGCACCAGCGGCGGCACGTCAATCAAGGTCTAAACTCTACGATGACACTGGTCGGAGTGACCGTCGGAGGCGGTCGGACGAAAAAGAATCGGATAAGAACTTTAATAAACTCTCACGTCAATAACTATAAAATACAAAATGCAATCTATTCAAACTATAAATTATCTTATAGAACTCTCGGTATAAAAAGAAAGTGTTTATGTCTTCGAGCTTAATACCCATTAATGACGAGAATTATTTTCTGAATTTTTTGAATAGAATAGAATAGAAGTGTCGGCGCTGAAGAAATAGGCCCATGGCCTGTTGCCGATTCTTGAACTTTTCGTGACTTGATTCACAAGGGATCTTGTATGTGAAAAATTATAGCTTGGTTCCATATGGAACCGCTCGGCATTAACATAACGTTTCTTCAAACAACACTTTTTCCGATAGTAAATCAAGCAAGGTTATTTGTAATGGATAAAACGTAATATACATATTCATAAATACGGATGATAAACCAATCATGCTAGAATACAATTTAATTTTTAGCATGGAATGCTTCCATTCATTCAGAATGAATGGGAATGTTGCCCATTTTACGAATGTTTGTGGGCGCGTTGTCCACATTGTTTGCATATGAGGTGCTTCTGATGTCTCTTTGCTGGCCGATGTTGTTGATTGTTGTATTGCACTTGATCAAGGATTGAAGTAGAAGGGTGCACTATAGACCCTGATTATTTTATTTTGGGTTTCCTGCATTATTGCTTTTCCTAACCGATTATTTCGAAAATTCATTGCAATAGCCTCCCTTTTTTCAAAAGTTTTTTGAGAAGCCAAACTAAACCAACATACATATCACATATAATATGTTGCCTGCGACCAATTGTAGCATGTTTATGGGACCAATCCACGTTCCAGCCCATGAATAAGTTTCTTTTTCTATTAGATCCGTCGATTGGCTTCAATTTCAGAAAAATATCATCTAATTTACCTGCTGCTAAAAGTTTATAACTAAATCTCACGGGCTAGCCACGTATATGTCGTAGCATAAGTTGGCCATGTCGACCACAGTTGACTTTCTTCTCTGTTGATAGTCATTGTTTTCACATTTGATGATTACTGTTGCTACAATGATTTTTCTCGATAGGCGAGCGGAATTGCAAGTGGCTGCGTCATCTGAGCTATCTGAATCTGTCTGTTTCATTTGTTGCTGCTTCTGTAAAAGGCTCAGTAGAAAATATTTGATCTTCGTGTTATTCTTCTCTCGAAATCTCAATTATTTCATGTCATGATTTGCCAAAAATACAATTAGAAAAGAAGTAACTCGGGATGAAAAATCGTATAGTGTTCAACGTACCTACTTCCTAATATTTCAACTTTCGGGTTATATACACCTAACAGCTCTAAATAATAGTTCACTAATAAATAACAGAAAACTGTTGATCTAAGGTCTAAATAAATAACTTCTAAATACAAACAAATTTTTGAAATACAATGCGTAACTATATCACAAAGTAATCAACTGGGAAAATGAGATGATCGGAATGCTTACACTACTGCCGAGCGGTTCCATTTGGAACCAGGCAAAATATTTCACGATCTAAATGACTTTAGAAACATTATATCACGTGATACCATATACAGAATTAAAAGTAAACTCTTTATCGATAAAATTCTGCATTTAACTTATAAATAATATATTTTTAGAACGAACTACTTACCGTTCTCTGCAACGATGTCAAGCCCTGCAGTCCGACACCCGGTACTTACAATTTTTTAATGTTAACTGAGCAGGAATTAGTTGGCGCAGCACAACCAAACGTTGTCAAAACACGTCCAAGATGTGTATCAAACCTAAGCATCCACTAGTATTCTGATTTGACCATACAATTTTATTATGAATCCATTTTTTTCCGCTGGTTCCAAATGGAACCAGCGCTGGTTCCAAATGGAATATGCACCATTAATCAACACACTGCATTACAAAGTGATGGAGAAGCTTACCTTCGCCATCGAGGATACAGAGGGATTCGGTCAGGAGTGATGGAGATGCTTACCTTCGCCATCGAGGATACAGAGGGATTCGGCCAGGAGTGATGGAGAAGCTTACCTTCGCCATCGAGGAAACAGAGGGATTCGGCCAGGAGTGATCACGTCATACGTAACAACGTAATTCAATTCAGCGCCGAGAACTACGACAATTTTAACTGCTATGTCAATTTGCGCAGTGCGTTTATCACTTCAAATGTCGTTATTCTGGGACGACCTTTACCAAGGGTTGCACTATTTACCGGAGATTTTACATTAATTTTATTGCGCTAAACAACAAATTCAAATTCTTTTGTCATGTTCTAGCTCATTTTTTTTTTTTTTTGTAAATGATCGGCTGAGCTAAACATTTATATTTCAAGTGTTTAGACAAAGTGGAAGTGTTGGCTCAAAACTGAAAGATTTTCTGTATTTATATATTGATATCAATGGTCGACATGATGGCTAGTTCGAGTGCGCTCAAGCAGTGGCTATATGTCCACCGGAGAAATGGTGGCGTACTGTGTTGTGCAACTGTGTTGAACCTATTATTGCAAGTTTTAGGAGTGTATGTATAAAAGTTTTTTCCAAGTTAATGTTTGCTTGAGAATTGTTCTGCAAAAGTGGTAAACGTCAACCATATTGCCATGTCTTGACAGAGCTATTTTATTCCGGCAACTCCATGCCACCCAATTACGTGTGACAAGACTCATGAACTGAACTTTATGTCCATATAATTTTTGTAATTAAGCAGCAAGTATGTGTCTTGCCATTACAAACCTGCATTTCGATTCGTGGTAATATATGCACTTGAGTCCTCTAGCAATACTAAGAAATTACAAGACTTCAGCTCTGCTAGAAAAGTCTCGATCTTCTGGTGTAACAATCCGATACATTTTCTCCAGCTTTCACTACTTTATTTTCTCCAATCTTTCACCCCATTCCTCTCTTCTCCCCCTCCATCCTCTCTTATCCTCTACCTCTCTTCCTCTTCACCCCATTCATCTCTTCTCCCCCTCCATCCTCTCTATTCCTCTCACCTCTCTTCCTCTTCACTTCCCCCTCTCCTCTCGTCTCCCCCTCCCTCCTCTCTATTCCTCTCCCTCTCACCTCTCTTCCTCTAGTAAAATATAAAATGTTAAAGAGTGTGTTGAAATATTTAAACTCTATTCATTGCAAGCCTTAATTAAATTATTTATATCTTCATATATGATTTTATTCTGACTGTTAACAAGTCATGAACTATACGCCTTGGCAGCCCGGGACCTGTTAAGTGTGCGCACTTTTACAAATGAATATCCCAATGATTAGTTGATTAGTTGAAGATTTCCTATTATATATAGGAAATACGTACATTATGTTATATAATATATATATATTGTGTTGGCTAATTCAGTACCCCATAATTTGATGTGACATGGAGGTGGTCTAAACATGTGTCATTTCTATTTTGTTTATTCATTTATTAATAATATTGTGGGAATATGTTTATTGCGATAATATCTGTGTTTCTATGAGTGATGTTGTGTTGTTTCTACATATGTTCCTAATGATATCTATGCATTGGGCTCACATATTTGCTATACATTTTACATGTTTCTATCCAGTCACTCAAAGTTATCTGTTCATTGCTTGTTAAAAGAATTTCTTTTTGAGAGAAAACTTGACTTAGTAAATCGAATTTCCCTTAAATATCATTCGGTAATTACATTAGGATATAGAATGCCACAAATATTGCTACGCCATGGAGAACACCTGTCGCTCCAGCAAGATGGCTATTATAAATTAATATCATGGAGATAAAGCTTAAGGTACCGTTCGGCTACTGACGGTAACTTTAGCTTTCACGACTTTAGATATGACAAGTATTAGCATTTGTCAGATATACCAATAAATAAAGGGTTACATAACAATATTCTTATACGCCGAGTGCCGTAAATAAAAGGATAGACTTAGTTGCACTAATCACTTTCCATTAGTTATTGTGAAAATTTTTGCCATTTTGTGTGTCAATGAATGAGCCAAATTTAAATATCAGATTTTAGCCATCGTCCAACATATGAAAAGACATTGTTAAAAACTGGGACATATTTGCGTTGTGGTGTGCTTCTGTATGAAGCTAATACTTCATTTATATTCCTTCGAATTTAGTGAATTTTTTTTAAATTGCCTATTACTAAAGTGTTTTAGAAAGATTTATCCAAACTTGTCTAGCTCCTTGTTTTAGAATAAGTCGAATTTGTGAATTTTTTCTTATATTTTCCTCATTGTTTAGCTTATTTCAATTGTTTATCTTGTCTCGATATAATTCTTGAAAAAGGTGGAGTATAAACGCTTCTAAATTGGTTGCACCTCAACAAGATGGACGTTTTCTCTTGTCTATGTTTAAAAAGAGCGTCATAAAAAGTGTATGAGTGCCGGCAGCCCGTATGCTAATGTATAAATTGAACATAGTTAATGAATTAGCACGCATTATTCAGTGCTATGCGCGGCGGCAGTCTCGCTCACGCGGCCGATACAAGGAAGCACACACGGCATCTCGGTGGCGCGAGATCAGATCTCGTCTGAAAACCAAAACATCTTTTATTTTCTTGGTAGATCTTCTACTACGCGTTACTCGATGATGCTTTCAAGCGACAAAATTTCTCTCTTAATGAAGACAGAGCTGCAACAATTTGTACTTGGTTTCAAAGCCTTGACACAACACACATGTAACAACCCAGTGATTATGATGCCCGTCAGTTCATCGTATAGTTGCCCCTGAGATTCAAGTGCTCCGAATTCGAGTAAAATGCAACTACTCGGTTAACTTCATCTAGACCGCGTAGGCGTGAAGCTGCTCACTTGAAATGAAAAGCAATGTTAGGACGAACCATTTTACATTGTGTATTGCTGTGGCTTATTTTGCATGTCCATGCAAACATCTATTTCTTTAGTTTGTTAGTCCGGCGTGGATGTGCTTATATTTTCTACAATTTGTTATATCTGGTTAATATTCAGTGACATATCTCTCTCGTAGGCGCCTAACATTTAAATAAATGTTCTGACAGGAATTATATG